ATTCCCAAACTTCCGGTTTGCATGTTGGCCCATTTTTCGCTGTCCCCAGGCTCCTAGAAAGCTTCTGCAGCCTGGGGAGGGCAAAAATGGCTTTTGCCACCCCCCGGAGGGCCTCCGGAGGCCAGAAATTGCCCTTTTCCAGTGGGCCCAGTAGGTCCGTTTTTTGCCCTCCCCAGGCTGCAGAAGCTTTCTAGGAGCCTGGGGACAGCGAAAAATGGGCCAACATGCAAACCGGAAGTTTGGGAATGGACTTTCAGATTGCCCGTTGAGCCTTTTTTCTCCCTCCAGAGGCTTCAGGAGGCTTTCCTGAAGCCTCCAGGGGGCAAAAAATGCTCAAAAATCAGCTGGCCAGCCCGTGCATGCGCACTGGAGCTGACAGGGCAAAGCCTCATGTGCCCTCAGAAACAGATCTGCATGTTGCCTGTGGCACGGTGCCGTAGGTTTGCCATGATAGATATAGATGATGTATAGAAATACATGAATTTATTTTTTAAGTTAATACAATATACAAAATACCTAGATATGTTACTTTACAGTTTTCTAAACCCTGAAGAGGATTTAGTGGTGGCAGAAGAACAAAAGATTATTAAAAACATTCCACCCAAAGGAGGATGTGCAAAATGCTGCAATCCAGGGGTCAACAGCCCTTGGGTCGTGGACCAGCACCAGTCTGTGGTGTGGCAGAAACCAGGCTGCACAAACAAGTGAAGCCCCATCCGTATACATGAGATGTAGACAGGTGAAACCATGTGCTCTCCGGTCTGCGAAAAAAGTTTCTTTCCACAGAACTGGTCCCTGGAGCCCAAAAGGTTGGGGGGCCATTGCTGTAGCCAAAACACATTATTCACTTCAGCACCTGTACCTCACCCAATAATTAAATAAAAATTAATTAATTATCCATTAATATTGATCAATGTTTAGATCCTAAGCGAGAGGGGTGGGAACATGATCTCTTTTGCCACTCACATACTTACCGTTAACATGGCAAACATGAGCTGGCACACGTTGAATGCATGCCGCCAGTTGTGATACAGAACCATTCGGTAATTTTTCCTCACTGTCAAAAGCCACCTACACAGTGTCTGAAATGGAAAAGGAAAATTGCATCAGGAACAAGTACAAGTACAAATGGCTCCTCCTTTGCCAACACAAAAGCAGCTGATTATCTCCGCGGAGCAGATGGTTACCTCATAGTCAATTCTAAATTTCTGAACTATTCCAAGCTCCATGAACATCCGGAGAGCTGCTGCTATCATGGTATCCATATCAAGGGAGAAATCATCAAAGTGGACGTTATCTATACCAAGCTCTGACACCAGAGGGATGTTTGCTGTCTGAAATTACACAGGGAGAAGGAAAAATGTATCAGGCACAACTCAGCAATGTTTCTACTCTCCTTTGTGTAACGAAACATTATCTAAATCTACATATAACTGGTATAGCAGCTATAATTCTCTGATGCAAATCTGGGGGGAAAAACATTTGAAATAGATTTTCTGTTTATGTTGAATTGAAGCCAATAAGTACTTCAACTGCATCAAGTTCCACTCATTTAAATTGCTTAACAACTTTTTTGTTGTTGTTGCAATACTATTTCAGCGTTAATGCAAATCCTATGGGAGGAGAAATGCAAATTCATGGCCTGGGAAAGGAAACAGATATGTGTGATGCAAATATATTCATTAAATAAAAACTCATGTGACATTCCTGATTTTGCTGGTTTCCAAACACTACCCACACATCAAGGAAATGTTCTGCTTTCTAGAAGATGCTTTTCATTGGCAGTGGAAGAAGGAGGCTTACACAAACCACAGCATGGGAAACAGCATTCGTATTTGTCAATAAATGCGCTTGTGTGAGCAGAGGGACAATGGAAGCAGGGGAAGCAAACGTAACAGAAATGCCATCACATTGGTCTGCCTTAATAGCAGCTGAGTTTGGAAACTGGACAATAGATTTCTTGTTTTATATTACAGTATATGTATTTATACCTGGCAAATACTCCTCTTTATGATTTATTACAGTAGTAAATAGAGATATTCAGAAATGGATGTAAGTTTCAGACGCCCATCTGAGATACTCATCTAGCAAAAATATGGTTTTCAGTTAAATCCAATAGACCAATTACCTCCAATAGACTGATCAGATCCCACAGATTAGGCCTCCTCCGAATTCCATCCGCCGGCCAATGCCGACTGACG